ACCCATAAAAGTGCGGCGGGGCCGGGGCCGCTCCAGGGTAGGCTGCGACTGCCTCCAGTTGTCTCCCAAGCAAACCGCACGATACGCCACCGTCCAGTGGCAGTGAAAACATAAATGGAACACAGATTACAGGTAATTTCAAGAAGGAAAGCTCAGGAAAGCATAAATCCCCTGCACCTTCCCTCAAACAGGCACACGAAGATAACTTCCTTGTCCTGTGGAACGTGTTGTTTTGCTGACTTGCACCTTTGCTGTCATACTGCCTTAGTAAGTACTTACTTTTCTTTGTAAAGTGTTTTTACTTTTTCTTTGAAATAAATGTATCCAATGTGAACAGAAAATACTTTCTGTTATTTACTGACAACCAACTATTCCCGTAAAGATGGTGCTTTTGCAACCGTGTTTCCCAAGGCAGCCTTTTAGCTATAACGAATTACACTGTCATCAGAGTCATTCAAATGAACATTAAATTGCCCTGACTGCACGGACTTCATATCCTGAATTTAACTCTTATCAAGAAAATTCCCTCCCCTGTACACAGGTACTCTGTATTATAACATCCATTCACACAAATACACACACACACAGAGCAGCATATTGGGTTGAATTCTGAGATTATAAAATCTTCATTAAACCTATCTTATAGGGTGTTTATAGGTATTTTTTCAGCTTCCCAAGAGGAACACAAGGTTATGCACTCTTTTTGCACAAGGCAATCTCACAACAGGAAACTAATCTTGACAAATGACCAGACTTTGATAGGTGTGATCTAAACCACTGCTCGTTAGACTGTTCATTTTATAAACGAATGGTAATAAACCTGTTGGGAAGTGTAGGATAGCAGGAATACTTTACAGATCACCCCTTTACAGGTTTCAATCAAAGCCATAAATTTGGAGGGGAGCACACAGATATTCTGTGCTGAGACAAAGACTGTCCCACACCAACCACATTTAAAGGAATTTTTTTTTTTTTTTTTTTGCTTTCTATACATTTTACAAATAATTTGCATAACTCTGGCTTTTTAGCCCCATGGCTGATTATCTCCAGCTCTCTTAAGCTAATGTCAAACCTCAAAATCCTTGGATGTGTTAAAGTATGTGGAGAGTAGAAATCAAATGCCTTTATTAGAAGCTGCAGGAAATCTCCGACTCCTAAGCACAACGAAAACATTCCAGAGAAAACAGTTCAAAGAGGACAAAGAAGAAAAGCAGAACAAGAAAACCTTGTTTTGAATCAATGATTGCAGAGTTTTATAAATAAATTCTGTTGCCTGGACAATTTTGAAAGACAACTCAATGGGTTTAGGGGTTTTTAAGTGTGCTTGCCTCTATGCCTGGAACACTTGGGGGACTCAGCCAAGCTAAAGCTCAGAACAATGGCCTGTCTGTCCATCAGACTATTTACAATAAATGCTGTGAAGCAACTTTACAGTACTAGATAATCAAAAAGCCTTTACCAGCTAAAACTGTGTGAAACTTAAATTAATTTTACATATGTGTCAGGGACAATGCAAATGCTAAGACATGTCCTGACTTTAACCAGTACATGAAAAAGTTCACCAACGGAAGAGGCCATAAAGATTTTATTTGTTAGGATATCCCTGTGAAGGCAGGCTGAATCAGTAATCCTTAGAAACAACCACAGTTACATGATCCACTGTGCCTTCCTGCATGGCACAGCCATCTGGAGTGCAATGCGAACCCCTGATTTATTATATCCCGTGCACTTATCTCACAGTAAGTTTGACCCTGCTTTGCTCCTGAGAATCACAGCTCTGCTGTTTACTCTCCTGGTGTCCTGACAACCCACCCTTTACCTTTCTGTGGCTCAGCCAGGTCCTTCATTTCCTCCTGTCTGTGGACAAATAGATTTTAATTGTTTTATTATAACTAATTTAATCTGTGCTGAGAGATGTCCATGTGCAGTGTGAAATTTACCATTCACATTAAGCATGGTTCAAGAGGTTTGTTATACAGGACAAAGGTAGAAAAATAGACTAATTCAGTCAGGTTGTTTATTTACTGGGCCTCTGCCATGAAGCAGTAAATAGGAAGTTACTAAGCTGTGTTTGATGTATGCAAGAGGACAGATGCTGCTTCCTACCTATCAGAGACCTTCAGTCATTTCCCTTTCTGCGTTACTCTGACATTATGTGTTGCAACAACCACAGCAGACACCTGGCTTTTCTTTATTTGATAAACATGCAAAGGCAGTGGTCACAGCTTTTGTAAGTACTCTTGGTGCAGTCTCTAAGTGTGATGCTTTTCCCTCTGCTCACAGCCCGGACCCCTGCTGGCCTGCTCTGATGCTGGGAGTTCACTCCACACTCCTGTGCTATCAAACAGGGTAGATCTAGTGTAAAATATAGTATGTTTTCCACACAACTGAGTTTTATTAAGAGAAGAAATTAAATTACTAATGAAAGACATCTGGTTCTTTGGGATAAATTTTGATATTTCTTTCTTTATATGACATAGGATTGCAAAAACGGTATGCATGGGGCTTTTCTAGTGCAGGACTTGAATATATTTTGTAGTGTCT